TGTGTGTGTGTGTGTGTGTGTGTGTGTGTGTGTGTGTGTGTGTGTGTTCACTGTAATGTCTGCTAATTACAAATCGCCCATTTCACCAATCCCATTAGACAGGGAGGTCTGAGTGGAGACATTTGATTGGATGGCAGCATCTGCTTAACTGGCATAGTCACAGACACAGGTAATTGATTGCGAGCCCCCCCACCCACACACACACACACATACACACACTTCACCATGACAACCAGACAACAGATGATGAAAGGGGAATGAGGTGACGTAAACGGCAGGAAGATAAAGACAAGGAAGGACAAAGGGACACGTAGAAGAAGGAAAAAATATGAAAGAAATGCAAAATAAAAAAAAGAATAAGACTCAGGCTGTGGGGAAGAAAAAAAGATATCTGAATAATTGGAAAGCAACGGACGACTGCTCTGCATGCCGTGACAGAGCAAGAGTGAAGGAATTTGAATAAACACAAAGAACATGACTTACGGAGGGATTATGGACTCAAGAAATAACGGAAATATTTAGGAAACTGTTTCTCAGGTTAGAAAAAGAGCTAGAAAAAAGCTCATACATCATTTAAAATACACATCAATAAGGGAAAGAACGGCTCTGTGGCAATTCGTCTGATATGTCTATACCATCCTGGTTGAAGCAAGAGAGACAACAAAGAGAATGTAAGAATGGGAGAATTGACTGAGAGATCCAGATGGTGAATGGCTTATACATCTGACTGACAGATGATATAAACAGAGAGCAGTAAGGGCAAAGTTTCAAATGATGTTTATGGGCCAGTGGGTAAGTCATCTATTTCTCCATCCCAGCAAGGTAATTGCAAGACAGTGGATAATGATAAGTCATCATTCCACTCAAATGATTTCATCACAGAGGCATCGATGCAAGCGCCGCAATTGTCCCGTCTAAAGATAACTCATCATTCCCCCAGACGATATTTACTGCAACTCTTGAGTCTGAGCTCATGCTAGAAGTCACCGTCTTTCCACTCATCACTAAGCTCTATGTGCTGGTTGTAAAGCCAGATTTAGAGTTGTGATGGATTCACAAGGTATCTTATAGCTGTGGGTGGATTTTTGAATGAGCGTATCGAGCACAAGGGGTCCGAGGGATCAGGGGTCCGAAGACAATAGCTTCTGTTGGAAGTGACTTATATAAACAATTTGTGTGATGGAAAGTCCAAGTGGTAAGTCTTGTCTTGATCAGGTTTCTTTGGCTCCTGATTGTTTAAAGTATCTCCCAATATCATGTGTGATGGGATATAATCTATTCCTGCTTGACATACAACCTGCACCACAGGTTTCATTTGACGGTTTCCTCTAGGATTTTCTTTAACATTTGTGGAGAGGGGAGTCAGGGTGGATCAGCTGTGACGGGGGAAGCTTTGGGGAAAAAGGTTGACAGGCTGTCATCTTTAGCATGAACAAAATACTTCAGTTCAGGATCTCTTTACAACCAACAGTCCTTCTGTAAGACTCCTGCAGCACAAACACTCAAACTAACTGTATCTTGAAAGTAGGTTCAGACTCTATCCAGTCCAATGGCACATGTAGCATGTGACATTGACATGTAGAAAATTGGCAAGAGTTGCAAAGTCCTATAACAGATGCCCTTTTTATTCAGCAGATACTGTTCAACAAATAACTAAAAACAAGGTGAGCAGCATGACATCAGCTGCCATCAGTACCCTGAACCTTTTCTGCAAACCTACTACTACTACTAAACCGCTCACCTGGGACACACAGACACCTGTAGCTGTTGCCCACGCTGCGGCAGACCCCATGGGCGCAGGGGTTTAGGGCACAGAAGTCCACCAACTGAGCACATGTCGGGCCGGTGAAGCCTGCTGTGCAGCTACAGCCGAAGCCCATGGGGCCGGGACCCTGGGCGTAGCATGTCCCGTTGTTGTGACAGGGGCCGGAGGCACACGGGTCCACCTTCTGCTCACATGTGGCCCCCTGGTAGCCTGCAAGAGAGGAGAAGGTGTGATATATACAGAGAGAAAAATAGAGAGAAAATCATGGGGAACCAGCACAAAAATAATGAAAGTCCTCATATGCCTGGAAGAAAACTTGGTTCCCTTATCAACTAGAAAACATTAAGCAACAGAGCTGAGGTGCAAGAGCAGCCCTATTGCCAACACTGCAGATGTAACCCTTCTCTAATTTGGTCATTTCAAGGCTTCAAATGAAACCACTTGCAACAAGGTGGGGAGAGTGGCACAGCAGGGGTTGAGTTAGTGTAGATCAGGTGGTGCAGTGCAATATGTGACATCCACTTTGGCATGGACTCTTCTGTTTATTATTAAGACTGCCTCTTAATGCAAATAGGCTCAAAAAGACACGTCTGTGGGTTTCAGGGGCACCCAAAGACCTTTGGACTTGGAGGTAGAGTGAGTTTTATCATTTACACAAACTCAAAATATGATTTTTTTATGTCTTTAATTTAAGGTAGAGTCTGCACTGGATGTTTTGTAAGCCACTTAACTTAAGCGATGCACACGTGCTTCATTCAGTGTGGGTGCCTTAATTAAATCTCGTGGCAAAGCACGAGGGAGTAAAATTATGTACACAAAATATGTGCACAAACTTCAGACACAAAATGTTATGCTTGCACAACCAGTAATTTATTCCACATAGATAGGCCTGTCACAATAATTATGTTATTGACTTATCTCTTTTAGACATTTTAAGTAATTTTGGGAAACACACTAATAATCATTCTTGCTGAGTTAGATGATAATATTGACACCCCTTTAATGTCTGTTTAGTAGGATATGAATCTACAGCCAGGAGGCAATTAGCTTAGCTTAGCATAAAGACTGGAAGCAGGGAAACAGCTAGACTGGCTTCTTCCAAAGTTTAGAAATACTGCACGCCTATCAGCACTTATTAAATTCACTAAACAACACATTGGACCTCATTTGTTTAATTCATACATGAACATGAACGGAAACATTTTGGGGGAGTTACGTGCTGTCGGAGAGCCAGATTAGCCGTTTCCCCTTACTTACAGAATTAGTGGAACAACCGGTTTGCTGTAGATTCATATTATATGTATATGATTGATATATCATATATCTCATCTAACTCTCAGGGGGAAAAGCGAATATAGGTCTTTCTCAAAATGTGAAACTATTCTTTTAATGACTGCCTAACGACTTTGGAGAAGCCAGTGTGGGGAGAGCGAAGGCACTGATAAAAGATAATATACTGAGAAAAATACAGCACGTGATTTGGATCTGTCATCATCTACTACCCCAAACCACATCATGCTCTTTTGTTTTATGCCTTCCTCCTCGTTGTTAAAGACAAAAACAGATCGTGAAAGCAGCTGAACAGAAAATGAATTCTTGCTGTTGACAGGAACGACTAAACTATTGTGTTAAAAGGAGAGTGGTGGTGTTTCTGTCGTGCTTTTTACCGTCTTTGTGGGGTGACGGGACGTGAAGAAGAAACCAGTGGCGTCAACACACCACCACTCATTAGCATGCGAGCCTCTGCTATTCTCACCTCACCTCCTCGTCTAAAAATAACTTCCTCCCTCTTTTCTTCAAGCCCTTCTCCCCCTCTGTCTTCACCTCCCCATGAGAGCAGCTACTGTACTGCAGAGCGGAAAAAAGACTCCTCTGTACATGTATACACCTCGCAGTAATATACAGTGGCTTCTCTGATTTACAGTAACACCGTAGTAAACCCCTGTGCTGACTGCACACTCCATTGAGCTAATGAAGAAATCTCAAGCATCCATTGATCTGCGAGACTTTATTTCACTGGGTGAGGAGGACATGTATCATTCAACAGCAGAGAGGCAAGAGTAATCTGCAGCAGACATCTCACCCAAATCTCTCTCTTTCTCTCTCTGTTCCTTTTGCACTCCTTCCTCGTCTCCTCTCCCTTTCCCCACACTTGCAAACCACACAGATGCTAGCCCGCGCACACACACACTTAGACACCTTCTTGCATACATTTAATTTCATGATTTGTATTTAATCTGTCATTGTTGAATCCCTTGCTTTCCACAGTGTTTAGCTTCTTTGCTCTGCCAAAGAATTTCCACCTCTTGAGCTCAAACGGTTTCTGTTTATTTGTCTACATTTCTATCCAAACATGCACAAACACACACACACACACACAGAAACACACACACACACACACACAGTAACATGGGACCTGGCTGACATAGAGGTGTCTGTTCATTTCTGCTGCCGGCATTCAAACCTGCCAACATTAACAGTTTAAATTTAGCCAGCTCGCTCACTCCCCCCCCCCCCGCCCTGATGGTTCTGACTGGAGGCAGTCACAGTACTGACACGCACACTTCCTCTTCTGTCAGTGCGTATAAGTGTGTCTGTGTGTGTGTAAGTGAAAGAAAGTTAACAATGTGTGGCAGTCTCTGATGAGGAGTGAGAGTGCAAAATTTACTTGAGCACATCTTGTGAAAATCTAATTTTTAAATGGTATTCCTACAGATTTTAGTTCTTCATCACTTTACTTTGAACTGACAGAAAAAAATGGAAGGCAGTCAGAGTAGAGACCTTAAATGTCAGATTATACAATTATTTATATCAAATACAATTATTTTTTATGTTAAATTGTAAACATCCCTTCCATTTAGACATCCAGAGTCCATTTAGTTTGTATATCTCTCGGGAAAGCTGTTCTTTATTTATTTAGATATGCTGTTGACAGGGAAACAAATATTACCTTCTTTTCCGGCAGGGTGAATCTATTTTAACATCGCTGCCTCCCTTGTGATGTAGCAAATGAAAATACAGCTTTTGCTCTCACAGTGATCACAGAGTCGATGCATCTATGATGACATCTGCGACAGTTGTCATGCCGTCCATCATTGTATTTATTGCTTCCGTCTGTGCTGGGACATTGCAAGTCAACATGGAGATGTAATTTATTGGGGTGGGAGGGTAGACCTGTATCTGTGCCTCTGTGTCTCTGTGCCTGTTCATTTGGCTGTCTGAGTGTGCTTACATTTCTTTACCTGTGGAGGACACTACTGTATAAATCAACTCCTAATTATTATGTACTGTGAAGCATCTACTCTTTTCCGTCCTTGTGACTGAACTTGTGACTTCTGCTGCAAACAGAGAGACAAGGACTTGGAATGAACGCTTGAGGAACAACAAACTTTTTAACACATTTTGTATTCTCCTCTCTCTTTGGTATCTCTCCCCGTTTTACATAATGAAAGGTTTTACACAAGAGATACGTACTTGGACTTGGAATTGTAATGAAATCTTTTTTTGATACAAGATGAAATGTTCTCTTCTACTTGGAAACAATACTCTAAAGTATCACCTTTACAGTACTCATGTTAAAAAAATAAACACATTCTGATGTAAAACATTACCTTCTACTTTTGATTATTTGCCCGAAGGCTGTTTACATTTAAATAATCCTCCCCTGATGTGTTCGTCAGTATGGAAGCACATCTCTGCTCATCTCTGTGTGCTTCCTTTAACACACACAAACTTGTTTTTGTCTCCTATGAATAGATGCAAGTCGTTTTTTTATCTCTTCCTTGAAGTCCTACCCAACCCACAACATAAACACTACACTTTCTTTAACAGACAAATGATGCCGTGGTGTGATGATGCCGTGGTCCTGAACCTTCACCTCAACCTTACTCGTCCTCATGATGCACAGTGTGACTGAATGAACAGATTTATTAAAAGACTTTCTTGATGCTGTGTGTGTGTTTTCTTGCAGGAGTGTGCGAGTGTTGTTCAGCATTCTGATTCAAGTACTGATTCATAATTTGTTAAACAGCGTGCGCCATTCTGAGACATCCTCTTCTATGGATTTCCCATTCAGAGTTTTTATGAGTGGAGCTCTTCTTTTTTTTTCTGGTTGATTATATTCCTGCTAATCTTGGAAGTTTTACTTTTTTTGATTTGATTATTATTCTTTTCAACATGTATTACTGTCTGTCCGTCCAGGGAGAAGAATCCCTCCTCAGTGTACCTCCTGTAGGGGCTTTTTCTCTATCCGAAGTGACAGTCCAGGGACAGAGGGTTTGTCTGCTGTACCGATTGTAAAGCCTCGAGGCAAATTTGTGATTTGTGATATTGGGCTATATGAATAAAATTGATTTGACGTTCTATATTTATTCCAAACAAACTGCCTAAATATTTCAAACTATTCATACGGCAACATGAAATCACTTTCTCAGCACAAACTTGATCATCATTAGTAAGCCATGACAGTGTGACAGTGAGCCAGCATGCACAATACCAGGACTCGTTCATTTCATTATTTATACTGCTGTGCTTTTCCTACTGTGACATCTCAAAATGTCTTGTATGAAAAAGACCTATGGTTAAATGGTTTGCGATATTGCAAAGCTGGACATGTTTTCCTAAATGCTGTATTAGTCACTTTGGTTATTAAACAAAAAGAAATGGTCCGAGGCAGTTTGACATATTGATTTACCGTGCTGCTATACATGAAAAATAAATGCTCAGAGGTAATTTGTCCAAAAGGTGTCTCGGACCCAGAATTATCCAATAAGCTGAAGAAATCTTTAAAAGCCCTCTTTCAACAGTCTCCCAGCACTAATATAGACGTGCTGGCATGGTCTTCACCGCCTTTTCTCTCGTTTAATTCATAATCCACCACTTGTGACGTAAGTATTTTCATTACTTCCCTCATTGGAGACCTTGTTTTTCTTGGCAGCTGCAGATTACCAATTCAGTCAGGTGTTGCAGTGTGAGTGAGACCTCCCACAGATCGAGAATGAACTGACTGCTGGGAGCTATACCTGGAACAATGAAACAACCTTCCCGCCAGCTTTTACATCCATCTGCTGTTTCTTTATTTATGTGGCCGGGGCCCATTGTTATCTAATGTTTCCCCTGTGTTCTAAGAGTGAATATACACTCCGGATACACCGTTGCCCATATGTGGTGTACGTTAATCACAAACTAGTGCACTCTTATTGAGAAATGCAGTTTTACAGTCACAGATTTCCCCAGAGAGGCTGATGCAGGTCGCTGAGGCTATGAGAACTAATTAGGATAGAGAAGGAAGGTTTAAATTAAGCATCTCAGTGGCACAGATACTGTTAAACAGACACACAGGGTGTATAATAACTGGAATCAGACAGCTGAAAAATGCACTTTTTCTGTCTATATGTTCCCCTCTGTGCGTTTGTTTTTTCACATAGAAACACAAACATCACAAGCTGTCGGATTTTGTCAGAAAGGCTTGCGTAATGTGTATATTAAATTTTCATTTTAAAATTATAATACTGTGCACTCATATCTATTTAAAAAACCCAGAAAGCAAATAAAGATTAAAAAATATATTAAAAAATGTCAATAAATTTGATTCCTACCTTCGGGACAATAGCACCGGGGCCCGGCCAAGCTGCTGAAGCAAGTGGCTCCGTTCTTGCAGGGCTGAGAGAGGCAGTGGTCAACCAGCAACTGGCAGCGCTCCCCTTCATAACCTGAGAAAAACACAGTTTATAATCACGACTACTACTTGATTTATTTCATTATATTCAGTCAAATGCAGCTAAATGTGATCTGTTTAATATTGAGCGAAACAAAATCAACTACTAATAAACAGCCAAGTCATGACAGGAATTCAAAAGCTGGACTTTAAGTGTTTTGCTATTTTTTACTTACTTTTAAAATGTTTGAGTTATGAACGATTGTTTTTTACTTGCATGCAAATCTGGTTTATTGCAAAGATTTTTTTGGGGAACCCCAGCAAGAGAGGCAACTAATGGGGATTGAACTAAAGATATACAGAATTATCATTAATGTCCACAAAATCCACCAATTTGAGCTGACTTTTCTCTGTATGCATCTTCTGTTTCCTGTTTAATTTTTCCGGTCAGCTGCCCACACTGCTTGTTAGCACAGTTCCCTAATGGGGAATGACAGGCAATCAGCGGTCACCTCCGACATTTACCTTCCTACGCTTCAAGTCCCTGCCCATAAATAAATCTGACAAGGTTAAAGGTTCAACACGATCTCATCTCTGTTCCTGTGCTCTTATTCAGAGAAACAACGAGAGAGGGTTCCAGTTTTTACATCACACAGCTCTAAACAAACCAAGACCTTAGCAAGGCTGAGACTATTCATCTAGCCTTATGCACATGTGTATACAGCTTTGTCTGTGTTTGAAAGCATCCAGCGTGACACACACGCACACACACACACACACACACACCTGGTGGGCAGGCGCATGTGAAGTTGCGTCCTTCACCCCCCTGTCTAACGTCGGTGCAGGTGCCGTTGCTGTGACAAGGTCGGCGGTGGCAGGCATCGAATTCCTCACAGAAGATTCCAGTGTAGCCGTCCTCACACTCGCAGAAGAAAGTGCTCTGCAAGACACACAGACACACACACACACACACACACACACACACACATACATTTCTCAAGTCAAATCAACGAGCCTTGAAGGTGAAACGACCGGAGATAGCGATGACAGGAAAAAAATCTTGTGAAACAGAAATAATGAGATTGCACATTGTAAAATTATTCAGAAACATAACAATGCACTAACAAGCAGCCGAGACACAGTTAAATAAATAATTTCCCGATAATGATAAAAAGAGAGAAACCGTGAAATGGTGTCTGCAACACCTCCCTCTATTTTTCTACTTTAGTTCGGGTTTTTTTTTAGGTTTCTTTAAGTTCAATGTATGGATGTAGAGGGGAGGGTCTCTGGTGGTTCCTTCTTCTTCTCCTTCGTCAGGGGTGCGGCTATACCAGACCCGAGACTCGCATGCATTTTGATCACAAAATGAATGAAACTGTGATTCCCTACTGCTAAACATATGTCATGTTGCATTGCTGTAATCTGTGGCATTGCGTTGTGTTGCTCTGTACGATTCTGACTCGGGTTCTTTTGTTTTCTGTTGTGCTCTGCATTGCTCTCTGCGAAGTGAAATCATGGGAAAAGTTTTTTTTTCTCCTACACTTTTGTGAATAATGATCAACATGCGCTGGACACAATGCTTGCAGCTGCAGTGATAATGTTGGGTTGAATTAAAATGGAAAGTTTTCTTCTGTTTGATGTGCAGATGCATTCTTGTTATGTAAGGTGTGAAGTGAGCTGCAAGCATCTGGATGCTGGAACTTTCTCCTGTGCCTTTCAGCTTCATTCGCTTATGTTTTGTTTTCATGAGAAGAAACATCATTTCTCACCTCGGAGGGCTGTGTGATACATTTGCCTTTCCCGGAGCACTGAGGGTCACTGAAGCTGCTGCCGGGCTCCACACAGCTGCTGGCTTTCACCGTCAGGTTGAGACGCAGGGTGACCTCCGGGGCTGTGGGGGTGCCCACACGCAGCACACCTATCACAGAGGAGTTGAGGGCCTTTTAAACTATTCACGTGGCATTTTTATTCATTCATTCATTACATTTTATAATAAATATGTAATGCATATAGGCCGATAGTATGAAATAAATGAGCCCCATGTCTTTGTAAAGAAAATGTCTTAATTCTTGCGAGGTTTATTCGAAGAATATGCAATCAAACAGCGTTTTAAAATGTGCTTTGATTTGACCTGCTCTAGCGGCGTGGCTTTAGGGATGGCAATGATGGTTTGTCGGTTGGACAACCACCGTCTCCACAACTATTGGATGAGTCTTATACAGACATTCATGGTCCCCAGAGGATGGATCCTATTATCTTTTCCCTTGACTTTTCCTCTAGCGCCACCACGGGGTTGTCATTTGTGGTTTTGAGTGAAATGTCTATAACTATTGAAAGAAATGCCATGACATTTGGGTCATTCATGTCCCTCTTATTCATTTATTAACTTTGGTGATTCCCTGACTTTTCATAGTCCCATCATCAAGTTTAAATGTATCCATTACTTTGGTTTAGGACCTGCTTAGCTTATGACCTTCCCATTAGCCCTGGCTGTACTTGGTGTTTAGTGCTAATAAGCAATGTTAGGATGCTAACAGTCTAAACTAAGATGGTGAACATGATAAACATTATACCTCCTAAATATCACTATCTTAGCATTGTCATTGTGAGCATTTTGGCATTTAGCTGCCTATGCACAGCCTCAAAGAGCAGCTAGCATGGCTGTAGACTCTTGAAGATGCTTTAGGACATATTTTAAATAACTCCCTCCCTAAAGTAAACCTTGCTGCCAAAAAACAATTAAGCCCCATGTGGCTAAAGGTGTTAAAGAACTGATGCAGGCAGCTCTTCATTGTGACTGAAATAGAGTGCATGCCTCTACATCTTGTCTCTCTGGGTCTAGAAGTTCAGAACATCTCTCATTATATCTTCAATCAAAGCAGACAGCGATATGGCCGCTTGGATAAAAATAGCCACATAGTGAATATCAACTGCCATTTTTTAGAGCCTGACGTGAGCCAATGAGCTGCGAGTCCACCAATGACGAGACTTTGACGATGCAGTCTCCTCGGCCAATCAGAAGGCCCGACAAAACGACTTATGCTTCTCTGTCACCCCTGACCAAACGATCGTCAGCCCAATGACATCCAGTCATTGCACCTGCAGAGTCACCGCTCCATCAGATTGTGAAAGCTCATCGCCAACATTCAGATCCAGTGACGTGTGAAGAGGGAAATGCAACGTCACTGTGCTCCTCCCTCCTTACTGATGCTTTGCATGCATCTTCCTCTTGCAGTTTGACCTTCAGTCCTCCCTCCTTCTGCATCCTGTCTTTCTCTTTAATCCCTTTCTGTTTTGCCGTCTCTTCCCCCGTCTTCCTCCCTCTTTATCTGACTCTTCCTCTCTCCCACCCTCCATTATCCTTCCACCCCTCTGATTTAACTCCCCAATGTCATCTCTCTCTCTCTCTCTCTCTCTCTCTCTCTCTCTCTCTCTCTCTCTCTCTCTCTCTCTCTCTCTCTC